ACTCCATTGTCGAGGCACACCAGGAAACGAGACTAAATGCTACATAAGACATGGGATCCGTCATTATGCATACATGCAAAAGTTATCGCTATTTTGTGAGTCCCCTATCGTTTTTAAACATGCCCAAAAACAAGTCTTCACTTCTAAGGATCATTGCAAAAGTCCAAACTTGTCTCTGCCTCATGCTTTTTTACAAATCTAGCACGCACTCAGCGCGCTCGGCCAAAACAAACCCTGACGCGCGCTCGGCGCTGGACCACAAACCCTACACCAAAAACCCTTAAGCTTGCTTTTGCACATTTTTTGCATACGGAGAATGTTCCGGAGATCCTTTGAAGGTTAGAATGTGACTTGCTGTTGATCTTGCTTTTCACAAATTCCAACGCGCGCTCGGCGCGCTCGTCCACAAACCTCAAACTGCCACGAGCGCGCGCCGAGCGCGCGTTAGAGTTTCACGAAAAGCAAACAAGCCCAAAAGCAAGTCTTCACTTCTAAGGATCATTGCAGCAGTCTAAACTTGTCTCTGCCTCAAACTTTTTCTACAAACCCTAACACGCGCGCAGTGCGCTCGGCCAAAACAAACAACGCGCGCTCGGCGCGCTCGACCACAACCCCTAAACCCAAAAAAGCCTTAAGCTCTTAAGCTTGCTTTTGCACATTTTTTGCATACAGAAAATGTTCCAGGGATCCTTTGAAGGATGGTTAGAATGTGACTTGCTGTTGATCTGGTGCTTTTCACAAATTCCAACGCGCGCTCGACGCGCTCGTCCACAAACCTCAAACTGCCACGAGCGCGCGCCGAGCGCGCGTTAGAGTTCCCCGAAAAGCAAACAAGCTTACAAGGAAGTCTTCACTAAGGATCATTGCAACAATCCAAACTTGTCGCTCGCTCATGCTTTTTCTACAAACTGTAGCACGCGCTCAGCGCGCTCGGCCAAAACAAACCCTAACGCGCGCTCGGCGCGCTCGACCACAAACCCTAAACCCCAAAAACCCTTAAGCTTGCTTTTGAAAATTTGTTGCATACGCAGAATGTTCCGGAGATCCTATGAAGGTTAGAAATGTGACTTGCTGTTGATCTTGTGCTTTTCACAAATTCCAACGCGCGCTCGGCGCGCTCGTCCACAAACTTCAAACTGCCACGAGCGCGCGCCGAGCGCGCGCCGAGCGCGCGTTAGAGTTTCACAGAAAAGCAAACAAGCCCAAAAGCAAGTTTTCACTTCAAAGGATCATTGGAACAGTCCAAACTTGTCTCTGCCTCATGTTTTCTTTGCAAACCCTAGCACGCGCTCAGCGCGCTCGGCCGAAACAAACCCTAACGCGCGCTCGGCGCGCTCGACCACAAACCCTACACCAAAAACCCTTAAGCTTGCTTCTGCACATTTTTTGCATACGGAGAATGTTCCGGAGATACCTTGAAAGTCAGAATGTGACTTGCTTGCTGTTGATCTTGTGCTTTTCACAAATTCCAACGCGCGCTCGGCGCGCTCGTCCACAAACCTCAAACTCCCACGAGGTTTCACGAAAAGCAAACAAGCCCAAAAGCAAGTCTTCACTTCTAAGGATCATTGCAAAAGTCCAAACTTGTCTCTGCCTCATGCTTTTTTACAAATCTAGCACGCACTCAGCGCGCTCGGCCAAAACAAACCCTGACGCGCGCTCGGCGCTGGACCACAAACCCTACACTAAAAACCCTTAAGCTTGCTTTTGCACATTTTTTGCATACGGAGAATGTTCCGGAGATCCTTTGAAGGTTAGAATGTGACTTGCTGTTGATCTTGCTTTTCACAAATTCCAACGCGCGCTCGGCGCGCTCGTCCACAAACCTCAAACTGCCACGAGCGCGCGCCGAGCGCGCGTTAGAGTTTCACAGAAAAGCAAACAAGCCCAAAAGCAAGTCTTCACTTCAAAGGATCATTGGAACAGTCCAAACTTGTCTCTGCCTCATGTTTTCTTTGCAAACCCTAGCACGCGCTCAGCGCGCTCGGCCAAAACAAACCCTAACGCGCGCTCGGCGCGCTCGACCACAAACCCTACACCAAAAACCCTTAAGCTTGCTTCTGCACATTTTTTGCATATGGAGAATGTTCCGGAGATCCATTGAAGGTTAGAATGTGACTTGCTGTTGATCTTGCTTTTCACAAATTCCAACGCGCGCTCGGCGCGCTCGTCCACAAACCTCAAACTGCCACGAGCGCGCGCTGAGCGCGCGTTAGAGTTTCACGAAAAGCAAACAAGCCCAAAAGCAAGTCTTGACTTCTATAGGATCATTGGAACAGTCCAAACTTGTCTCTGCCTCATGTTTTCTTTGCAAACCCTAACGCGCGCTCGGCGCGCTCGACCACAAACCCTAAACCCCAAAAACCCTTAAGCTTGCTTCTGCACATTTTTTGCATACGGAGAATGTTCCGGAGATCCTTTGAAGGACGGTTAGAATGTGACTTGCTGTTGATCTTGTGCTTTTCACAAATTCCAACGCGCGCTCGGCGCGCTCGTCCACAAACCTCAAACTGCCACGAGCGCGCGCCGAGCGCGCGTTAGAGTTTCACGAAAAGCAAACAAGCCCAAAAGCAAGTCTTCACTTCTAAGGATCATTGCATAAACTTGTCTCTGCCTCATGCTTTTTCTACAAACCCTAGCACGCGCGCAGTGCGCTCGGCCAAAACAAACAACGCGCGCTCGGCGCGCTCGACCACAAACCCTAAACCCAAAAAACCCTTAAGCTTGCTTTTGACATTTTTTGCATACAGAAAATGTTCCAGGGATCCTTTGAAGGACGGTTAGAATGTGACTTGCTGTTGATCTTGTGCTTTTCACAAATTCCAACGCGCGCTCGGCGCGCTCGTCCACAAACCTCAAACTGCCACGAGCGCGCGCAGAGCGCGCGCCGAGCGCGCGTTAGAGTTTCACGAAAAGCAAACAAGCCCAAAAGCAAGTCTTGACTTCTAAGGATCATTGGAACAGTCCAAACTTGTCTCTGCCTCATGTTTTCTTTGCAAACCCTAGCACGCGCTCAGATCTGCCGTGCTTTGCAGCGTCAAGGTTGCTTCGTAGGATCGTTATGTACCTTTCCATTGTGCTTTGCAGCTGTAGGATCGTTCCCGCAGAGTAAATGGCTGCGTCAAGGTTGCTTCGTGCTGTGGCTGCATTCGTAATACTAGTGTCTTTTGCAGCTGGACTTCGTAAATCGTATTGGAGTGGCTGCATGAAGGCTGCCACAGTGATTTGTCAGCAGATTTTCTCCATTTTGGCGCCAGTGATTTTCCTCCTAAAAATCCTTTTAAAAAGTGCTTCAAAATCGTCTTTTTTTCGCTCTGGCGTCGAGATCCGGTTTTGGAGCTACAATTTCCGACGCCGTTGCGCGTAGTTCTATTGCGTTTTGCAACTCAGTCTCTGCAGATCGCATTGTAATGCCTGCGTCAAGGTTGCTTCGTGCTGTGGCTGCATTCGTAATACTAGTGTCTTTTGCAGCTGGATCTCGTAAATCGTCTTGGAGTGGCTGCATGAAGGCTGCCACAGTGATTTGTCAGCAGATTTTCTCCATTTTGGCACTAGTGTTTTTTTTGTTGCACTTAGGTTTAGAGCAGTGTGAAGTGTGGGGCGTCAAGAGTGCAGTGTGAAGTGTGAAGTGTGAAGGAAGCAGTAGAAGTGTGGAGTGTGAAGTTTAAGTTTGGAGTGCGAAGCGCGCAGTGTGAAGTGTGAAGTGTGAAGTGTGAGGTTTGGAGTGTGAAGGAAGCAGTGGGAAGTGTGGAAGTGTGAAGTGTGGACTGTGAAGTGCGAAGTGTGAAGTGTGAAGTGTGGAGTGTGAAGTTTCAAGTTTGGAGTTGAAAGAGTGCAGTGTGAAGTGTGAAGTGTGGAGTGTGAAGACTTTGCTTCGTCTCTCGCTGAAAAAATCAAACGGTTGTCGAGGGAAAGACACGGTCGGGACAGGGTGTCTTTGAACTATAGGTCATTTATGTTTGGGAAACTTCCGCCGCCGGCTTGCCCGGGTCTATGTTATAGATTCGCTTCCTGTTTGCCACTTGTAATTGTCGGACCCATCTGGGACAAATCCACTTGTTGCGCTGACTATCTACAAGGTTCAGGCTCCAAATTTAAATGTTGAAATGCATGATCATGAACTGAGGCCAGGTCATAGGTGAACACCTCCGTCATAGGAACTGAGGCCAGGTCATACCATCATCACGCAAACAACGCAAGAGTAGACCTCAATGGACTCAATGTCCACTTTTTTTCAAAGTGCAAACCTAAGAAATGGATTGGCATTCACAGAATCCCTTTGAAACGTCATGACAGTACGATGTGAAGTAGCTCTGTCATAAGGTGTCTTTGGGCCCCGCAGCGCTGGGATAGCGTGGTCAGTTTGGCTTTTACCCACAAATTCCACCTCATCCACCTTAGGCCCACTTGAGTCGCCGCGCTGCCAAGATCTATGACCAGCTCCTCGGCTAAGGGACTGGGTTACCCGGCACCCCTTCAACGAAGGTGTCAAAATGTCAACTCAGGCATCCTTCCCGCCCCCGGCGGTCCCATAACTACTTTTTGCCGCCGGTCAGCAGGCAATCAAATCTTTGGCAATGGGGATTGTCAAGCCCAGAAAAGAATATTGCAACTTGTTGCGACGGGTAAATACTTGATTGCATGAGAGTGATATCCGGGCAATTTTGCCATCCCCACTGAGCAGGCTCAACTATTGCGGGGCTGTGACGTGCAACAAATAGAAGAAAAATAAGTCAAACAACCAAACATTCCAGTGGTTCATGCACCGTTTGGAAAACATGGTTCTAATAATAAAAACAGCATTGCCCGCAAATTTGGATGGGATGCTGTACACTGTGCGAAGGGTGAAACTGCGCCCTGCCCTGTATGCATGGTTGTTGCTGCCTGCTCTGGAAGGTGTCCTCTGTGGAGAGTGTGTGTGTGTATATATGTGTGTGTGTCTGTGCAAAATGCTTATGCTGCTTAATTCCAGTGTCCGAGCTGTCTGTTTTGTGTGGTCGTCATGGCCCCCTCAGTGCTGCCAGCAGTTTCTTTTGCTCCGCCAGCTCCTTGTCCTTCTCTTTCAGCTCCTGGCAAAGTGACAGGATCATGACCGTTGGAATTTAGAAAAGTTGAGAAGCAGTGAGGAAATGCATGAAAAAACTAGTTTGGAACCTTTCATCAACATAGCCTATCACCAACCGAATCCCTGAACCCTCCCCGCTTCTCTCCTTTCTGAGCTTCTTGCACTCCCGCTCCGATGCCTCGAGCTTCACCAAGAGCCCCATGCGCTTCGTCTCTCGGTTGAACTGGGACCCACTGTAGTAGCCATAGTTCCACTGCTTGCCCTTGCCCTTCTTGCCTTTGCCCTTATACCCTTTCTGCTTGTGGCTTTTCTCTTCATCGTGCGAGTCCCAGGCATATTCTTCATCCTCCTCATTGTCATCCTGACCTGTGTCTTCTGTCTGATTTGGCCTCGACGGCCCAGGCTTACTTCCAGGTTTCTCCTCCTCCTGACACGTGTTCATCTCTCGCTTCTGTGTGGCCTTATTGTTGCTGTCTGTCTCCTTCTCAGCTTTGTCTTCTGCTGGTCCTTCGGCTTGCTGGGGCTGCTGCCATGCTTGCATGAGTTGCTGGGCTGCTAATGCTGCTTGGCATTGTAGCCAATTCTGCTGGAACTGGTGCTGCTGCATCATTTGTTGCTGCATGATGTGTTGCTGCCTCGCTTGTTCCGTCATCATGGCTTGCTGCCTTTGCTGCTCAAGCTCCTGCTCAACCTTCGCTTGTTGCTGCCTCGCTTGTTCCATCATCATGGCTTGCTGCCTTTGCTGCTCAAGCTCCTGTCGCTGCTGCTCAACCTTCGCTTGTTGCTGCCTCGCTTGTTCCATCATCACGACTTGCTGCCTTTGCTGCTCAAGCTCCTGTCGCTGCTGCTCAACCTTCGCTTGTTGCTGCCTCGCTTGTTCCATCATCATGGCTTGCTGTCTCTGCTGCTCCAGCTCCTGTCGCTGCTGCTCAACCTTCGCTTGTTGCTGCCTCGCTTGTTCCATCATCATGGCTTGCTGCCTCTGCTGCTCCAGCTCCTGCTTTCGCTGCTGCTCAACCCTCGCCGCTTGTTGCTGCTTTGCTTGTTCCATCATCATGGCTTGCTGCCTCTGCTGCTCCAGGTCCAGGTTCTGCTGTCCCTGCTGCTCAACCCTCGCTTGCTGCCTCTGCTGCTGCGCTGGGGGTTGAAACGCATGCTGCGCCGTCTCCCTTTCTTTGGCTTGGGGTGGGCCTGGAGGATGTGGGCAGTCTTGCTGGCGTGGGTTCTCCTGCCTGCTGTGGGGTGGGGTATGGCGTGGTGGGTGCTCTGGCTCTGGCGGGCGCTGTGACCCTGGAGTTGGTGCTTTGGGGAGTAAAGCTGCTGATGGTGTTTCAGGCACCCTTGGTCCACTTCCTTTCGGCTGGATTGGCATCGCTTTCGACTCGATGGGCTTGGCTGGTGGCGGTGTAAGTGGCTGGGCCTTCTTCGCTATCATTGCCGGTGCTTTGCTGCTGGCTGCACAGAGCGGAGTCGGTGCTGTGTCGGGGGCTCGTCGTGCTAAGGGCTGTGGCAGCCTCACTGGGGTGCGGCTTGACACGGGTTTGTGCTGTTCCTTTTTCCAGTCTGGTTTCTCAGTATCCTTCTTTCTGCCATCAGTCTTGGATTTCTTGCTGTCTTGTTTATCAGTCTCCTTCTTGTCTCCTTTCTCACTTTTTCGGGCTTTGCTGTGTTCTCCTTGGGCTATATTTTGGGACTCCTTCTCGCTGCTCTTAGTGGCCATGGCGGACGATCGGGATCCCCACTGATACGATCCAATCAGCGTGGAACAGTTTTGAAAAGTGTTGAACATGTGGTTTCTTGATGATTCTTGGCAACATGTTCATTGCATCATGTACTGACTCTACGAGCCCAAGGCTTTGTTTTGTGTTTGGGCTATGTCAGCCAACTAACTATGTCCTTAATTGTGTGGGCATGTTGCGCATCCTGATTGGCTTCTTTGGTTGAAAAAATCCATCCGTCTTCAGAACCAACATGGGGTAAAAAGGCGCAGTGGCGATCAGGGCCGATAGCAAAACATAAAAAAAAACTGACGAGGGTGATCAGGATGACAAAACGAGTGGTGGTGATCAATGATCATGATGATGCTTCTGATTCATGCGGGCCATTTATCCCCTGCCCAGGCTTTCTGCCACTGGGTACTCCGGCAACCGCAAGTCGCCAGCGTCGTAGGCGCCTTCAGCGTGGATTCGGGAGAACCAAAAGATCAGTAGCAGGTAACACCTGAATCGTTTTCTATCTGGGAAAGCATTGGAATTTCTTTCAAGCGCTGGGATAGCGCAGGCGCTGGGAAGCGTCTCATATATGATTTCTGGAGATAATGCCCCATGTGTAGAGCTGTGATAGCTATTGGGATGCTACCCCAGCATCACTGCCAGATGCTATCCCAGCATCGCCGCCAGATGCTATCCCAGCATCACACTCAGATGCTATCCCAGCATCGCCGCCAAATGCTATCCCAGCATTACACTCAGATGCTATCCCAGCATCGCCGCCAAATACTATCCCAGCATCACACTCAGATGCTATCCCAGCATCACACTCAGATGCTATCCCAGCATCACACGCACATGCTATCCCAGCATCACATTCAGATGCTATCCCAGCATCACACTCAGATGCTATCCCAGCATCCCCGCCAAATGCTATCCCAGCATTACACTCAGATGCTATCCAAGCATCGCCGCCAAATACTATCCCAGCATCACACTCAGATGCTATCCCAGCATCACACTCAGATGCTATCTCAGCATCACACTCAGATGCTATCCCAGCATCACAGTCAGATACTATCCCAGCATCACACTCAGATGCTATCCCAGCATCGCCGCCAAATGCTATCCAAGCACTCAAACGCTGCTCAAATGCTGCTATCCCGGATGCTAAGCCAGCATCGCTACATCCAAAAAACGGATGCTATACCAGTATCAATGCGAGCGCTATGTCAATCAAAAAGACAACAAACACCTTTTTTCCTTCATCGATCAGCCCAACCCCTGCACCAGTTCATTGGGAGCCCACACATGAAAGCTGGAAAGCGGAGTTGCCTGAGCGCTCAAATCTTGGGATCATGGTCAAATGCAGCGCTATCCCAGCGCATGAACATAAGCTATCCCAGCTTAAAATAATAAGCGCTATCCCAGCGCATGAACACAAGCTATCCCAGCTTTTCAAATGCAGCGCTATCCCAGCGCATGAACATAAGCTATCCCAGCTTAAAATAATAAGCGCTATCCCAGCGCATGAACACATAAGCTATCCCAGCTTTTCAAATGCAGCGCTATCCCAGCGCATGAACATAAGCTATCCCAGCTTAAAATAATAAGCGCTATCCCAGCGCATGAACATAAGCTATCCCAGCTTGTCACTATTAGGCGACCCGCCGGTCTGCAGGATCCCCGGCTCTTCCCGTGCAAAGCACGCAACCATAGGCGACTTCCCATCACTTCCCACCCCATGCACTGTCTTAAAGCTTTCTGCCACTGGGTACTCCGGCAACCGCAAGTCGCCAGCGTCGTAGGCGCCTTCAGCGTGGATTCGGGAGAACCAAAAGATCAGTAGCAGGTAGCACCTGAATCGTTTTCTATCTGGGAAAGCATTGGAATTTCTTTCAAGCGCTGGGATAGCGCAGGCGCTGGGAAGCGTCTCATATATGATTTCTGGAGATAATGCCCCATGTGTAGAGCTGTGATAGCTATTGGGATGCTACCCCAGCATCACTGCCAGATGCTATCCCAGCATCGCCGCCAGATGCTATCCCAGCATCACACTCAGATGCTATCCCAGCATCGCCGCCAAATGCTATCCCAGCATTACACTCAGATGCTATCCCAGCATCGCCGCCAAATACTATCCCAGCATCACACTCAGATGCTATCCCAGCATCACACTCAGATGCTATCCCAGCATCACACGCAGATGCTATCCCAGCATCACATTCAGATGCTATCCCAGCATCACACTCAGATGCTATCCCAGCATCCCCGCCAAATGCTATCCCAGCATTACACTCAGATGCTATCCAAGCATCGCCGCCAAATACTATCCCAGCATCACACTCAGATGCTATCCCAGCATCACACTCAGATGCTATCTCAGCATCACACTCAGATGCTATCCCAGCATCACAGTCAGATACTATCCCAGCATCACACTCAGATGCTATCCCAGCATCGCCGCCAAATGCTATCCAAGCACTCAAACGCTGCTCAAATGCTGCTATCCCGGATGCTAAGCCAGCATCGCTACATCCAAAAAACGGATGCTATACCAGTATCAATGCGAGCGCTATGTCAATCAAAAAGACAACAAACACCTTTTTTCCTTCATCGATCAGCCCAACCCCTGCACCAGTTCATTGGGAGCCCACACATGAAAGCTGGAAAGCGGAGTTGCCTGAGCGCTCAAATCTTGGGATCATGGTCAAATGCAGCGCTATCCCAGCGCATGAACATAAGCTATCTCCCAGCTTGTCAAATGCAGCGCTATCCCAGCGCATGAACATAAGCTATCCCAGCTTAAAATAATAAGCGCTATCCCAGCGCATGAACACAAGCTATCCCAGCTTTTCAAATGCAGCGCTATACCAGCGCATGAACATAAGCTATCCCAGCTTAAAATAATAAGCGCTATCCCAGCGCATGAACACAAGCTATCCCAGCTTTTCAAATGCAGCGCTATACCAGCGCATGAACATAAGCTATCCCAGCTTAAAATAATAAGCGCTATCCCAGCGCATGAACACAAGCTATCCCAGCTTTTCAAATGCAGCGCTATCCCAGCGCATGAACATAAGCTATCCCAGCTTAAAATAATAAGCGCTATCCCAGCGCATGAACACAAGCTATCCCAGCTTGTCACTATTAGGCGACCCGCCGGTCTGCAGGATCCCCGGCTCTTCCCGTGCAAAGCACGCAACCATAGGCGACTTCCCATCACTTCCCACCCCATGCACTGTCTTAAAGCTTTCTGCCACTGGGTACTCCGGCAACCGCAAGTCGCCAGCGTCGTAGGCGCCTTCAGCGTGGATTCGGGAGAACCAAAAGATCAGTAGCAGGTAACACCTGAATCGTTTTCTATCTGGGAAAGCATTGGAATTTCTTTCAAGCGCTGGGATAGCGCAGGCGCTGGGAAGCGTCTCATATATGATTTCTGGAGATAATGCCCCATGAATGCTATACCAGTATCAATGCGAGCGCTATGCCAATCAAAAAGACAACAAACACCTTTTTTCCTTCATCGATCAGCCCAACCCCTGCACCAGCTCATTGGGAGCCCACAAATGAAAGCTGGAAAGCGGAGTTGCCTGAGCGCTCAAATCTTGGGATCATGGTCAAATGCAGCGCTATCCCAGCGCATGAACATAAGCTATCCCAGCTTAAAATAATAAGCGCTATCCCAGCGCATGAACACAAGCTATCCCAGCTTTTCAAATGCAGCGCTATCCCAGCGCATGAACATAAGCTATCCCAGCTTAAAATAATAAGCGCTATCCCAGCGCATGAACACAAGCTATCCCAGCTTTTCAAATGCAGCGCTATCCCAGCGCATGAACATAAGCTATCCCAGCTTAAAATAATAAGCGCTATCCCAGCGCATGAACACAAGCTATCCCAGCTTTTCAAATGCAGCGCTATCCCAGCGCATGAACATAAGCTATCCCAGCTTAAAATAATAAGCGCTATCCCAGCGCATGAACACAAGCTATCCCAGCTTGTCACTATTAGGCGACCCGCCGGTCTGCAGGATCCCCGGCTCTTCCCGTGCAAAGCACGCAACCATAGGCGACTTCCCATCACTTCCCACCCCATGCACTGTCTTAAAGCTTTCTGCCACTGGGTACTCCGGCAACCGCAAGTCGCCAGCGTCGTAGGCGCCTTCAGCGTGGATTCGGGAGAACCAAAAGATCAGTAGCAGGTAACACCTGAATCGTTTTCTATCTGGGAAAGCATTGGAATTTCTTTCAAGCGCTGGGATAGCGCAGGCGCTGGGAAGCGTCTCATATATGATTTCTGGAGATAATGCCCCATGTGTAGAGCTGTGATAGCTATTGGGATGCTACCCCAGCATCACTGCCAGATGCTATCCCAGCATCGCCGCCAGATGCTATCCCAGCATCACACTCAGATGCTATCCCAGCATCCCCGCCAAATGCTATCCCAGCATTACACTCAGATGCTATCCATCGCCGCCAGATGCTATCCCAGCATCACACTCAGATGCTATCCCAGCATCGCCGCCAAATGCTATCCCAGCATTACACTCAGATGCTATCCCAGCATCGCCGCCAAATACTATCCCAGCATCACACTCAGATGCTATCCCAGCATCACACTCAGATGCTATCTCAGCATCACACTCAGATGCTATCCCAGCATCACAGTCAGATACTATCCCAGCATCACACTCAGATGCTATCCCAGCATCGCCGCCAAATGCTATCCAAGCACTCAAACGCTGCTCAAATGCTGCTATCCCGGATGCTAAGCCAGCATCGCTACATCCAAAAAACGGATGCTATACCAGTATCAATGCGAGCGCTATGTCAATCAAAAAGACAACAAACACCTTTTTTCCTTCATCGATCAGCCCAACCCCTGCACCAGTTCATTGGGAGCCCACACATGAAAGCTTGTCACTATTAGGCGCCCCGCCGGTCTGCAGGATCCCCGGCTCTTCCCGTGCAAAGCACGCAACCATAGGCGACTTCCCATCACTTCCCAC